GACTTGCAAACACATTAGGATGAAGAAAATAGGTCTTGAAAAGGTGTCATATAAATATATTTTGTTAGGTCACCATGAAGAAAAGAATCCTCACATCCATTTTATGAAAATACCATCCATTAGAAGCAACTATGGACATTACAATGCGAACATTTATCCTTTTGTCAACCAGTGCAAATGTCTCATCATAATCAACTACATATTCCTGCTTGTTTCCTAAGGCAACCAAGTGAGCCTTGTAACGATTGAGGGACCCATCAGAATTCAACTTCATAGAATACAGCCAATAGGTTTGACATTAGAAGGACAAAAGACAATATCCCATGCGAAATTATCTTGAAGAACCTAAAGTTCCTCATGCATTGCTTTTATCCAACGTACATATTTCACTGCATGTGAGTAACAAGTAGGAGTATATATACTAGAGAGTGTGGCAGGCAGAGAAGTATGTGAGGGATCATATATGTCTGGTGAATATATATATATATATATATATATATATATATATATATATATATATATATATATATATATATATATATATATATATATATATATATATATATATATATATATATATATATATATATATATATATATATATATATATATATATATATATATATATATATATATATATATATATATATATATATATATATATATATGGTGCTCGAGATATTTGACCAAAACGTTGTGGTTCAATCGGCACAAAATCAGGTGGAGGTTCATCATTGGAAATGGGTATGAGAACCTGCTCCTGCACAAGATAACCAGCGCGGGAAAAATTAAAATTATCATCTTTACTCACCAATTGACCAACTGACAATAAATTGGAAGCAAGACCAAGTGATACAAATACATCCTAAAAATTAGAGATTATGTCTCCAACATTAGTGATAAATAGGTTACTACCATCAACAATTTGAATATTCTGATTACCATATTAAGACTTTGAATTGTGCAAGTATTCAGAGGAACCCGTCATGTGATTAGATGCATCTAAATCAAGAAACCATGGATGTGGAACATTAGAGGACTTACCTTGGATTCCCAAGGTTGCAAGAGCGGAAAATACCATTTGTTGAACCATTTCAGGTTGTATAATTCCACCATTAGATGCACTAGTAATGGAAGGACTAGCCGTAGAATTTGTAGTTGTGTGAAATGCCTGCATCAAACATTGTATTGGTTGTGGAGGACGTGTAAGACAATAAGATATAATATGGTGTTACTGCTTGCAAACATTACAGAACTTTTTCATGCAATTACGAGAAATATGTCCAAATTTTTTGCAAGAGAAATATTGAACTTGTCTCATATCACAATTTTTACCTCTACTCTGAGCAGCATATGCAACCACCATAGGCTCAAAAATAACAGCTTCATTAGACATGTCTCCTTCACTAATGAAACGTTGTTCCTCCCTAAGAAGTTCTCCAACATATGTATCCAAATAAGGAATGGGATTTCTATTAAGAAAAGCGCCATAGACAACTTAAAATTCTAGGCGAAGTTTCATGAGAAACTGATCTCGACTACTAGTATTGTAGACCTCTTGGACAACCATGAGAGAAGTCTTTAGAACATTAGCATGAATAAGAGCAGAGTGTTTTGTTTGCAGATTCAAAACACCAGAATAATATTCTTGAATAGATAAATTACCTTTTATGTAATTTCTATCTCTAACTCAAACTGAAAATGCTTAACTGCATTATCCTTGTTGTAAATACGCTTCAAATAGTTTCACATTTCTTGAGCAGTTGAAATTAAGTGCAAATTATTAATCATTTGGGGATCAATAGTACTAAGAAAAGTAATTATTTGAGCATCTTTGATTTCCCACTCATCTAATGCAACTTTATCTATTGATGCCTTGGAGACGACATTTAGGTGACTCCATAATCCTTTTTCTTTGACATAATTTTTGAATTGAAATTCCCAATTTGAATAATTCTTACCGGTAAAACGGACAGAGAAACAACTTTTCTCATCTTCTGGAATCATATTTCAAGTTCCACTTTTTTTATATTAGACCTTTTGTTACACATGCACCAAAACCGATTAAATCACGGCCAAACAAACGATAATCAGCGATCACCGACCGAACCAGAATCGATCGCAATCAAACGAATAAGAATTGATTGCGATAAACACAAAATCAAGATGAAAGTGCATCAATGATTTTGCAAAGAAGAAATCATGAGATGGCAACTGCGATTTTGCAAAGAAGAAATCGCGAGATGGCAACCGAAAATCAGAATCGCAAACAATTACAAGGTTTTGTTTTTCAAAGAAATTGTTTCTAAACAAACACAAACCAAGAATACGATTACGAGAGCGAACCAGAGGGTGTTGCTATTCAACCAAGATAACAAGATTTCACAGGTTTTATCGAACCTTATGATACCAGGTCAGAAAAATTGATTTGTTGTCTTTCTCTATTGTATTTCATACTATCTATATAACAATATCAATAATTACAAGTAGTTAGAAAATATTCTAATGTTCTATTTAAAAATATAAATATTTATCATAAAGACAAAGATTAATTCCTTATTAACACATTCTTCACTTCCATTAACACATTCCTGACTTCCATGATCTGAGTTAAATAAAGAAAGAATCTCTTCATCATGATCATTCATATTATCAAGAATATGAAACTTTTAAATTAAAAAACTTATTTCGATATGCATTCTTCAAAATTGACTCACTTTCCATCTCGAATCGAATCCTTAAGTTAAAAAACTTATTTCTATATGCATTCTTCAGAATTGACCCACTTTCCATGTCCAATCGAATCCAAAACCGTAGTTATCTAGTTTTCAAGTTAGTTTTTGCCAAAAATATATATCAAATCAAAAAGACTGTTAAAGTGATTAACAAGAAAGAATAGAATATATAGATATTACATATCACTTGTTAAATAGTTACACATAGAAATGCACATAATTTAATTAGTATGCGTAGAATAACCAAGTCTACTGGCAAACATTGAATTAAAATAATGCACATCTCACTTAAAATAAATAGATTTAGGTTTATGGGTAGGGGAAAATTGTAAATGATATCAAAGAGTTATTTTGGAACTCGTTTGTAACCAAGTATGCAAGTTTAAAGCTTCAAATAGTTTATTTAAGTACCCAGCACTCCATTAATGCATTAGTTCTTTACTTATCAAACAAAGACGGTTGAATATTTTTTTGTTGGTAATATTTTTTTATTGGTGACAATTTTGATAAAATTTTATAAAATTAAGATACAGTAGTTAAAACCTTTTATCTAACATAGAGAACCGGTTTTTTTGCAATAATATGACTGCAACCAAAAGTAATTATAATATGTACAGGGATAAGAATACATGCAACCAAAAGTAATTATAATATGTACAGGGATAAGAATACATATAAACGTACTATATTTTAAAGATTAAAGTGTACAAAAATGTAATTTTGAAATAAATATTATAAACCATAATAGAAACAAATCATGCCACAAAACCATGAAGCAAATATTTTAAGAGTGTATTGGAATGAAATATTTTAATGAGAAAAAGATAATATTTAAAAAAATTTTAAAATAATTCAACTAATATTTATTGTTTAGATAAAAAAAATATAAAATATATAAAAAATTATTAAAATAATGTAAATTTATGAAGTATTTTATTTAAATTAAATTAAAAAAATTTCAAATGAAATCAAAAAATTTAAAAATTTAAAAATGCTTTTTCATTTTATATAATAAGAATGTTAAATGATTTATTATTGATTTTTTTAAATTTTACAAAACAACTTATAAAAATATCAAATTCACTCTCAAAATTTTCAAAAATTACAAATAAAATTTCAATAATTTTCATATTTTTCATATTAGTTCTTTAAATTTTTAAAAATTGCAAATTAATCTATTTTTTATATTTTAAATTTAGTTCAAAAAATTAAAATTTTATGAAAAAGACTTCAAAGGTTTAACGATAAATCATTCTAATACTTCATTCAAACAAAATAAATTTAAAAGAAATGAACTATTTAAATTACTTAAATTTTTGTGTAACCTATCGAGAGTTAATGTTATTTCACACATGCAAAGGAGAAATACTCCATCAATGCACTATATTTCATAGAGGGCAAATTGCACTAGCAAAATCTCATATTAACAAGAGTTATAAATTTTAGATATTAGAGCGGAGTAAAAAAATGAGTCTAACACTATTCTTTAAACTAATTATATGAATAACCTATAAATATATAAATTATTAGTACTTCAAAAAAAATAATTACTTTAAAATACATAAAAATATAGATATGAAGAGTTATTAAGAAATTCAAAATCTAGATCCAAAAAGTTATTACAAAAATCAAGGAATAGAAATATGAAAGAAAGTAAAGATAGAAGAAAAAATTATTATTATGAACAAACGCGGGAGGAGATGAGAAGTGAAAAACGCGGGAGGAAATGAGAAATCGATGATAAGTGAAAAACACATGAGAAGTTTTCTAAGTTAGGGCAAACTTGGCAAATTTTCAGTTTTCCCAAGCCATAACAGATTGCGGGTTGTAACCCACTCCGGGCTAGGAAGCGCTCCGCTCCAACAACCCGCTCCAAGCCAAAACGCGGCTGCAATCTCAAACTGAGAGGCAAATTGCCACGTCATAGCAGCCAGCCTCCGCGCGCTCTCCTGGGATAGCGCCGCTATCAGTAACTCTGCCATTAACTAAGAACTAAAGATACTCATGAAAATAAAACAATGCACAACATCATCCTGCTAAATGCGTATCGAAAAAACATCAGAACTGCAACCATTTTAAACCTCTTATTCCATGTCCAAAATGTTTCTCATTTTATTATGTTGTTGTTAACATGAACATGTAGAATATCATATATTGCTCCATCTTTGCACATGAAATGAAACTAAAAAAACATTTGATCTATTAATGTCAATCCAATACTACAAACCCTTAAAAATATCCTCCTGGAAGCACAAAACCTAAATTTCAAATCACTCTTCTTGAATCTCGAGCAGAGGCAAGATGGTCCTACAAGCATGAAACGAAGTGATCATGTCATGTTAATCCACCTAACAGCTAAACAACTACAATCAATATAATGAAGCAAGGCAAAAACCAAAGTGCCGTCAACATATCAACTTCAGCTCTACCCAAAGTACACTATATTCAAATCTTTTTAATTGTTATAACAGCCAACAACGTAGACTGCATGTATCAAATCAAATGGCATCATAATATCCTATCTTACACATGTCCGGTGACATATTTAAATCCAAAGTCTTTTATAATTTGGTTTTAACTTGATATTTATGAATTTCAATCAAGTCGCAAATAATAACACAAAAGAGATTAGTATAAGTAGTTCACAAAGCAGTAAACACAAACCGGACCATTAACAAAAACTAAACCAATGGAAGGTACGCATAAAAGCATTTAGATTTGGACTTACCGAGATAAAATCAAATGCTTTAGTATTATCTTCTTTCTTTGAATTATTGATCATTGAGCTGGGAGTTTGAGATGCAAAATTTGGTTGAAATATGTCTGGCAAAGGGGTATTTCCATTAGGTCCAACCATTTGGGCAATGCCATCATCTCGCATATTGACATTATTAAGGTGTTGGAAATTCGCCATTGTTGCCAGTAATTGCTGCTGAGCTAAGAGAGTCCCCATGGCACCATAATTAAGAGGCTGAGAAGGATATTGTTGGTTCAGCATAACTCCAGGCTGCATATTATAAGGCAGATGCCCAGTGGGAAACATCGGGTTTACATTGAATCCAACTGGTTGAGAGCCCAACATACCACCTAGAGTATTGTCAGGGGTATGGTTGTTTAAACCTGAAAATAAAGATTCAGATTGCACTGCAGAAGAAGTTCCCTTGTGCTTCATAGTTGAGGTATTTTCATCTATTGACAAACCACCTATTAAATCACTAACAGACCCGTTATGATTTCCTTGCTTGGAACTGGAACCAAAAATGTCAAAAAGTTGAGGATCACTTTGAATTCCCTGCTTGTGACTCTCATGATCACCCTGTTTATCTTCACCAACTGTCATCCCTGAAAATAAATCATCTGCCTGTTCTTTTCGCTCACCTGTGTGAAATGATACATCCGCAAATGGGTCGTCATCATTTTTCAGTTCATGACTAGCTCCAATAGAGTCGCTTATATCTCCAAATAAATCATCTACCAGAGGTGCAGATGATGTCAAATTCCCTATACTTTGTTCACCTGTAGTATTGGTTGTGTTGTCATTTGAATAACCCGTGTCTATCAAGTCAGGCAATTCGGCACGCTCTGTCTTCACAACTTTCTCTGAATTAATAGCAGAACTGTTTGGCTGCCCCCCACCTAGAAGACCAAGAACCTGTCCATCAAAGGGGCCAAGTGTTAAGTTATATTACAAATATTGCTCTTAGACTTTTGCTGGCACTAACAAAGCAGTCTAAACTATTTTTGTTAAAATGTTAAAAATTTTACAAATTGCATTTAAATATTCGTTAATGTATAATTGACCCAGAAAAAGAACTGCACAGTTACAAAGGTTTGAGATAATGAATAAATTCCTCACCGGCATCTATACTTTTATATTAATCACGAAAGATGTTTTGTAGTCATAGTGTATCAAAGTATCTTTGTATCCAATATCTGATAGGGGTTGCAAAACCACAGGTTGCATAATAATGTAAAAGATAAATAGTTCAGTTGGCCTTTGCCAGAGATGGAGACACAGAAGCATAGGTAGATAATATCTATTGACACGAAGTTCAATCCAAACTAGTGACAGTATATCACCAACCAGATTTTAAATATTCAAAATTTCACTTCATAGTTATAATCAGATTTTTCATTACTGCCTAGAGGCAACTTATTTGCTAAAAGAGGAATTGATATGTGCGTAAAATGTGAAAATGAATAAGGAGGTAATATTTTCAAGTGGTAATTATTCACTGAAATTGATTTTAAGGTTACCTTTGTAGCCTTTTCCCTCAAAGAGGCTTGGGGAGATTCGGAACATTTCAGCACGACATCATTATTTTCAGCAAAGTAAGATGCCACATATAAAAAATGTTCATCATCCTTCTTTCTGACGATGGACTCAAGAACACAAACAGCTTTCATGCGCACCTGAAAATATTACTCTTATAAGAAAATATTTTCATTAGAAGCTTAAAAAAATTCTGCAGCAAGAACTTCTGATATTCTTGGTTTGCATAAGCACTAACATTTCATGCAAAATTACAAAATTTAACAAAAGATGATAACTAAAATATCCATTATACATGGTATTCACTTGTATATTTGCACAGGCCCAATTAAGATTGCAAGGTCTAATAATATAAAGGAAAAAAAGATGTTGACGCTTTAAATATACACCAATCGCATTTGTAGTGAAACTGTTTTTATACCAGAAAAGGGTAATGTAAGTTCCAGCATATTAAGTTCCAGAATACTTGAAAAAGAAGTTTAATCTGCAAACTTTAAATACTCATTTAAATAAATAAGTACATGTTAATTTTCATGTATGGATTTATATTTTTGTAGAAATTTTAACATAGAAGACATGCCTGCCAAATAGGAGATTGGAGCTTTAGTTCAAGGGCATGACCTAAAGCCAGGGCATCCAACTTTGCAGCCTCTGTTAGAAAAGCTTGAATGGCATCTCGAGAGGGTTGTAGGCGAACACCTCCCAAAGTTACAATTGTTTCCACCAACCTATCCTCTCTAGTCTTAATCTCTGAAGAATTTCCACTGGATTCACTATTTGAAATTTCCATCTTAGTTACTCTTGAATCCTGATTCCAAGAACCACTAGATTGATTCTTTGGAATTCCAAAACTACTCTGATTTTCACTACGATACGCAACTGGTTCATATCTGTCACCATGTTCTGATTCGAAGGTTAACGACCTTTGAAGATTTGGACTCTTGTAGCTTCCACTTCCAGTTTCATTCTTCATTAGTGAATGTCCCTGTGTTAAGCTATGAAGCCCTTGCTTAATTGATGCACTTCCAATACCAACTACCTCACTAATAAAAGACTTCTTATCTTCAGATGGCACTTCATAGTTTGTATTCCCAAACCCTTGTATCCGCCGGTTAAGATCATGAGAAGGTGTGGCAGCCTTATGCTGATGATTACTATTGTTACTATTATTATTATTATTATCTTCTGAAAACATAGCAGACACAGCCTCATTTGCAGTGTCCCGCACAGCTTTATTTAGTGCATCACCTTTCAAAGGATCCGGCTGTCCCTTGTAGTGCAATAATTGACGAATTGCCACTGAATGTCTCTGCATTTCCCTTCTGAACTCAGCACCAGACTTTCCAACCGCATATTTTATCAACCTTAATGCCTGCCAACAATAATTTTACCCAAAAAGAAAGAAATAGCAAAACGAGTTTAGAGAAACAATGCAAAAGATATATGAATCGGTAGTACAATTTTCAACAATAAAATCCTTTTTCATATCACCGCCTCCAAACTTTACAGCTTGATAAAAAATAAGAGTATGGTCACTGGTTAGAGTTACAACCACTGCAATAAACTATGCAAGTTTAAAGACAAGTGCAACAATTTAATTCAAACTTCAAGAGGGTTCTTAAAGGATAACTTCATTACATTCCAAAATATCAAAGAGACCTATCACCTGACAAAGGGAAACAAAAGCATGCAATTTCACATTCATGAACAAAAGTATAATGCATTCCCCATAAAGTTGATTCCAAAACATTCAAAACCACAACTAGTATGTTTGGTTCTGCGGTGGAAAAAAAATGATTTTGAGTGAACTTTTTCCATAAAATTGATTACGGTTAAAAATGAGTCGAATGTAAAGTGATTTATGTTTGAATAACTTCATGCAAAATTGAGTTGAACAGTAAATGTAAAAGTCACCTTTAAACTCAAAATTTATAGATTCTAACTTCAAGTAAAATCAATTATGAAGGCAAAATCAATTATACTTTAAAAGAACAAAACACCTCAAAATCATTCCAAAATCAATTCTCCACCTCTAAAATTGCTTTTGGCTCTTCCAAAATCTAAACCAATCATGCACTACATTTCTTTCATTCACTTATGCATGCAATTAGCTAATTCAATATCTTCAAACAGTAATAGTAATAATTTCAGATAAGATCTACCTCAATCAAATTTGATGAAGTAAAAAACAGAAACTAAAAATCAAAAACAAAAAAAAATCTATCAAAATTCTTATACCTTTTGTTTTACAATGGGACTCTTATGTTCCAAACGTTTCAAAACAAAATCTGAAAGCTCCTTGACAATACTAACATGCGAAGAGCGCAAAAGGTCGCAGATTTCCTCCAATTTGTAAACCGGCGCAACTTTATCTTCATCCGATGTAGCTGAATCAATTAACCGCGATCTCCAGTACGATTCCACCGCTCTTCGACTTGTTTCCATTCTTCCTCACAATTCGATCCAAAAAATTGAAACCCTACTTAGCAGAAACGATTCCGATAAGAAATGCGGAAATTGAATTTATCAACCTAAGATGATGCTATAATCGAAATCGATCGGGGTGTGGTGAGAAGCAGTGAAACCTAGATGGAAAAATCGGAAATGGAAAATCGAAAATTCGCGAATTTTTGTGGGAATTGAATCGAATGGAATGAAAGGAGGGTGGAAAAGATCTGAGAGGGTGAGAATTGGGTATTTTGAGATTTGGGATATTTGGGGAAGAAAGGAATTGAAACGGAGAAGGAAATTAGAACGATTTCGTGGCAGAATATCACGAACAAGGACGAGCAGACATGCCACGTCAGTCGTTGGAGTTGAAACACAATTAGGTTCTCACTATTCGTGTCTAACTAATTTAGTTAAAGAAAACAACCACCATTTCGATTTATGAAATGGTAAGTATAATGCAATGTTTTAAAAACTGCATTGAATCGGATGAATTGTCAATTTGAATTCAATTCAGTTGGATCAATTTTTTAAATAAAATCAAAAAAATCATATTCCACCATCCAAAATCGTTTAAATTAGTGTTTTAAAAATCGGGAACCGGCCTAGTAATCAGTTTGGTTTATTAGTTCAATCGTCTTTGTCATCGAACCGGTGAAAATCGGGAAAAATCGGGTTGGACTGGAAAAAACCAGATTTAGGATTGGACCGGTTCTAATGCATTTTTTTATTTTTTTAATTAAAATTTAAATGCAAAAGTTATAAAAAATTTTAAAAAAAATTTGTTTTGATTGTTTTGAAATAATTTTACCTCCTTGAAACTAAACTTAAGTAGACATAGGAGTTATTTTGTTATAAATTATTCAATTATATTATGTTGCAATTAGATTTTGTAATTTTGTATTATTTTGTTATGTGTAATACATTTTTTTTAAATTTAAATTTAAATTATGAACTTGTAAATTTATGATATGATATTTTCAAAAAATTTAAGTATTAGTTATATTTTTTTAGAAACTGAATTATCCGGTTCGACCGGTTTTATATCTATATAATGACAGGTCTATTCAACCGAGTTATCTGGTTTAATCCGGTTTAGTCATGCGGTTCGACCAGTAACCCAGTGGTTCGACCGATAAACCAGTGATCCAATATCCTCACCGGTTTGATGACCGGTCCAGTTTTTAAAACACTGGTTTAAACTAAAGAATCAGAGTTGATTTTATAAATAAGCTCGATTCAAAGAAATGTATTAGATTGATTTGTTTTAAGCTTAATATGTCAATATCAACATTTAAAACATTTCTCAATCACAAAAAGAAATCTCTTTTTTCTAAGATCATAAAAACTTGTTAGTTTTGTCATTCTTTTATAGTTTTCTTTCAACTAGACTTCATCATAGTTATTATTAAATGAATGTTGAAATTAAGTGTACAAATAGGTTGTGTTATTATATGTATTGTTGATGTTGAATGTAATTCAAGTTAGTTTAGTTTTGAGTTTCATTTGTATTTAAGTTTGCATTTGCATTTAATGTACATTTAAGTTTGGGTGAATCTTTATAAGGCAAAGTAAGATGACTTTGTAATAGAAATTATCGGAATTTCAAATTGAGAAAGTTTTCAAGTTAGTTACAATTTTCTCTCTCTCATTTTCATCTTCATCTTCTCCAATTCTTGTGCATGTGAAAGTTCATTCTTAAACTCCAACAATTTGTATCCAGAGTTTGTTAAATATGTAATTTATTGTTTTAGAAAGATTAGATTTGATTTAGAAATATCATATTTGATTTAGAAAGATTATATTATATATTTTTGGGTTTTTATAGTTTGTGATTTGACTTGGGGTGCAAGTTAACCTAAATCTATAAATAGAGAGAAACCTTATTTTGTAAACATCGTATCTCATCATATTTTGTAATTCACAGTTTGTAGTTGCAAATGAAATAACAGATTTTTCACAAGTTGTGGGCAGAGAGTTCTCTGCAGTTCTCTATTGTTTACTTTCTTCTAAATTTTTCTTTCATTTTCATTGTCATTACGTGAGTTGAAACAATTTTGAGATCAAGATTGATTGATTGAAATTCTCCATAGGCTGTGGTTGAATTTCTAACATCGGGTATCTAGAGCTCTGGTTACGATTCAAGGAAGGAAAATCGTGATGGCGATGAATAATTCAAACGGTCATTTTTCGGAAAACCTTCCAATTCTCAAGAAAGATAATTATGAGAATTTGTGCAACCAGATTAAGGTGGTTTTCTGTTATCAAGATCTTTGGGATCTTGCGAAGGGAGGAGTAGCACCGCTTGCAAAAAATATGACGGATCAAGAAAATACTGCATTCAAAGAATTGAAGAAGAAAGACAATAAAGCTCTATTTATAATTCATCAATGTGTAAATCCAGGTGATTTTGAAAAGGTTAGTGATGTAGATTCAGCGAAGGAAGCATGGGAGATTCTTGAAAAGTCGTTTGGAGGCGCAAAAAAGGTGAAAGAGGTGAGGTTACAAACTCACAAGAAAATTTATGAATTGCTTCAGATGGAAGAAAGTGAAAGTATGGCAGATTTTTCCACTAGAGTTACAAAACTGGTGAGTCAAATCAAGGTATGTGGAGAAGTGTTGACATCAAGACTAATTGTTACAAAGATCTTGAGGTCGTTGGCTCCAAAGTTCAACCACGTGGTAATAGCCATAGAAGAGTCGAAAGACTTGTCAACATTGACGGAGGAAAAGCTTCAAGGGACGTTTGAGTCTCATGAACAAAGAATGGCTAAGAGAGCTGCAGGAAAGTCGAAGAGTGATATGACTTTGTAAGCGCGGTCAGAAAAGAAAAGGAAAGGAAAAGGAAGCTAGAATGGCAACAAAGGAGAGGAGGATACAACAATTCGACATATTAAAATCAGCAGGAAGGAAACTAGTCGAATCAAACAAAACCATGGAACCAAGGCAACCAAAGAGGTAGTGATGCAGGTAGAGGAAGAGGTGGTTGACGAAAGTCTGACAAAAGTCACATTTAGTGTTTCAATTATCAGAAGTATGGTCATTATTTTAGTGAATGTAGAGAAAAGAAAAAGAATTAAGAAACTGATGCCAAGATGGCGAAACATGAAGAATAAGAGATGTGTTAATGGTCACAACAAGAGACGAAGAGAGATTCCAAAACCAGTGGTACTTGGACTCGGGATGCTCATCTCACATGACTAGAAGGTTTATCAACATAAAGCTCTCGTAGAAGAACATGGTGAAATTTGAAAATGACAATACTCTAGCAGCTGAAGGTATTGGCAATGTTTTGATTATGAGGAAAGATGGTAAGAGGTCAAAAAAATTTAATGTGTTGTACACACCAAGCATGAGGAGTAATTTTCAGTATAGGACAGCTAGTGGAAAAGAACTACAGGGTGTCGATCAAAGATAAGATGATGAAAGTTCTCAATGCAAGTGGTAGGTTGATCTTGAAGGCTCCAATGTCTCTGAATAGGACCTTCAAGATTGAACTCAATGGGATGGAACACAATTGTCTAGCAGTTGCAGCCAACAGAGATGAATGGTTATGACATTTTTTACTAGACCGTCTCAACTTCAATGACATCGGAGAGCTAAAAAGGAGAAATATGGCTTCAAAATTATTTGAAATCGACATTCCAAGTGAAGTTTCTGAAAAGTGTGTTCAGTCGAAACAACACAAGAATAGCTTCAGCAAGGATGCAGGAAGGAAGTCGAAAGTGATTCTAGAAGTCATATACACTGTTTTATGTGGTCCAATCCAGGTGGATTCGATTGTAGGAAGCAGATACTTTGTCACGTTCATAGATGATTACAGTAGAAAGTTATGGACTTACCTAATCAAGAAGAAAAGTGATGTGATCGGAGTATTTTCCAGATTCAAATCTATGGTCGAAAGACAGAGTGGTCGAAAGCTGAAAATTCTGAGGAGTGATGGTGGTGGAGATTATGTGTCGAAAGAGTTCGATGTATTATGTGAAAAATAAGGGATTATGCATGAGGTGGTGCCACCCTACACTCCACAACAAAATGGAATTGCAGAAAGAAAGAACAGAACCATCATGAACATGGTGAGAAGTATGTTGAATGGAAAACATCTACCCAAAAAATTATGAGGAGAAGTAATTTCGACAGAAACATACATATTAAACAGATGTTTGATGAAGAAGTTTGAAGGAATCACACCAAAAGAATGTTGGTCTGGTGTAAAGCCTAGCCTCATTCACTTGAAGGTGTTTGGATCTATAGCACATAGACATGTGCCATATTAGTTGAGAAGGAAGCTTGATGATAAGTCGAATCAGATGATCTTGATAAGATATCATTCGACAGGAGGTTACAAGTTATTCAACCTAGTGAATAAGCAGGTAGTGATAAGCAGGGACGTGATCATAAATGAGCTTAAAGAATGGGATTGAACTGAGAATGTCAAGAAGGATTCAGTGAGAATCTCTTGCGAAAAACCAGCCACTGAAGTTGAAAGTGAAGTTTGACAGGAACAAGTCAGAGATGAAGTTGGCCCAAGCAGACCTCGACGAACAAGACACATGCCTGCAAGGTTGCAAGAATGTGTGATTACATCAGATGATGTGGTCGATGAAGAAGGTGAGTTGGTACATTGTGCTTTCTACACAGATGTCGAACCAGTCAATGCAGTTGAGGCATTGAAAGATTCGAAGTGGGTGAAAGCAATGAATGAGGAGTTAGACTCCATCGAAGTCAACAACACCTGGTCACTTGTCGATTTGCCTCAAGGCAAGAAGACAATTTATGTGAAGTGGGCTTACAATGTGAAGATGAATCCTAAAGAAGAAGTGACTCGACATAAGGCAAGACTTGTGGGGAAATCATTTCTTCAGAAGGAAGAAATTAACTTCGATGAAGTTTTTTCATTTGTTGCTAGGATCAAAACAATCAGATTGGTTATTGGTCTAGCAAATATGAACAATTGACACACATGTCAGATGGATGTGAAGTATGCATTCCTAAAT